CGTCACTTCTTGGGCTGGAGTTTGACAAACAGAAGCACACCCCCTACCTCATTCCTCTTCCTGCAAAACCACCCCATTCCTTCTCGCCCTCCAGTCTCCCCTCGGAGAAAATTCCTCAGCAACCAGGCAGGAGCGTCACAGAGGGGCCAGCCATCTTGGTCCCTACCTGCAGCCAGGGATGCTCCAAGGCCTCTTCTATTTTCAAGCGCCTGGTGGGGTCCACAACTAGTAACCTCTGAACCAGGTCAAAAGCTGCACCAAGGAAACATCAGGCTGTGAAGGGAAGGAAGCTCCACCTTCCTTTGGGGCATAAATGCTACCAATAGAAGCTTTCCTCGCCCTGTGGCATCCCTACAACGCCACCCTCTCTCCTGCTGGAACCGTAGCAGCAACTGAGAACTTAATCCCCTTGCCCAAACAATGCCACCTATCAGAGGCTAGGAAGCCTGTCTTGCCCTCTAGAATAGCAGCTCTGCAGAAGTCTGTCCAGCTCTAGCCCTGGTGCAAGTCTCTGAAGGGTTGGCTGTGCTCCCAGGCCATGGGGTGGAGCTTTTGGACTTGTATGTGTGGTTTTTCTTCTGGATGCACACTTTCTCTTTTATCTTTATTATTTGCCTCAAAGGTGTAAACCGTCCAGAGTCATTTGGCCTCTAAATTACATATATAAATAACCACACCCATGAGCAACCTTCTGTTAACATGAGCCCCAAAAGGGAGAGAAAGGAACAGGGATCCCCATCAGCTGAGACAGCAACACCTTCACTTCCTTTCCTCACCTTCCTCTGCCATCTATAAATGGATGTCCTCTCCCACCCTCTCTCTAGCTGTGGAAATGAAACTAAACCTGATGAAGAAACCGTCTCCCACTCCCCAAAGCCACTGGCAGAGCAAACAGACTACAGAAGGTGCACTCTGGGCTGTGCCTTTGCCAGTCTCCTTCCGCTTCGGCTCCCCAGCACCTCCGCCTAAGACGAGACGTCCCCATTTGTTCCCTCCTCAAGGCCACAGTCGTCACTGAGGGTAACGTCTAGAGCGGCCTGGGTGCCCCCACAGGGCCCTTCCTTGGAAGTTCACTCAGGATGGGATTCCAAGGCCGGGAAGGCAGCAGACTTTGGGGCAAGTTAAAAAACTAAGACAACGGCATGCCGACTGGCTGGTGCCCCAAAAGCAGTTAATCCACTCTCTCTCTCTCCCCCCCCCCCATGTCCTCCCAGTTCCTTGGGAAGCGCTGCCGTACCATCTTTGGAAACATCCTTCCATACTTCTTCAACGTAATAGTAGTCTCCGCTGGTGATCTGCTCTGTCAGAGACAGCCGGGCACTTTGCTTGGAGAAAGGCGGGTAGCTAGAGAGGCTGAGCAAAAGGAGGAACAGAAATGCTTTAGTCCCTTCTACAACAGGGGGACAGCTGCAGCTCATGCCTCCCTGCTAGTACTTCTCAAAGCCGCCTTTGGCCAAGTTTTGCACCTCTGTTGTCACATGAAATATGACAGCTGTAGTGTAAATCCTAAAATAAGTGCATTGCTTTTAAAAATACAACCTTTCCCTTAAAATCCCAGCACTCCCCAAACTGTGGCCCTCAGTCCCAATCAGAATGTTCAGTATGATCTCTCTCCAGCATGGCTAAGTTCCATATTAGGTTGCAATGCCAAAGAGACCTGTACTTTGGCCTGGGGCTGCAATTCCAGGGTGGGTGTTATCCAGACATTACTCTAATCTCAGCGAGTTTACACCAAGGTACAGCATTAGTTCTTGTAAAGAACAGGATGTGAAGCTGAGTATTTTACCAGCAATACTAAACTTTTTTACCACATAAAGAGAATCACTCCAAGACTCCAGCAGTCCACAGACCGTCCATATCCAGCTGTTCCAGCAAAATGTAGAATCTCTGGAGCAAGATAGTCGGGAGTGCCACATAATGTTTGCATAAGAGAAGTTTCTCCAACAATCTTGGATTGCCCAAAATCTGTAATCTTGTACAAGGGAAGTTGAGAACAGTTCAAAACTTGAAATAAAACTTTTCCTTGTGCCTGTTCAGTCTCATCAGAAATGTACATCTTATTTTATTTATTTATTTATTTATTTATTTATTTATTTATGAGACTTATATACCGCTTTAAGTGCAAGCACTCTCTAAGCGGTGTACACCAGTAAGCAATGTATATATATATATTTACATTGCCCCCAACAATCTGGGTCCTCATTTTACCTACCCCGGAAGGATGGAAGGCTGAGTCAACCTTGAGCCGGTGAGATTTGAACCGCTGACCTGCTGAACACAGTCAGCTAAAGTGGCCTGCAGTACTGCACTCTAACTGCTGCGCCACCTCGGCTCATCTTACTTTGCCCTCTTACTCAATATAAAAGGAATTTGCATACAGGGGAAGGCAGTTCCTTATTTACCTTGACAAGGCAGTTCTCTTCCCTAGATGATAAAAGCACATTCTCCAGTTTCAAATCCCGATGAATTATGCCATGTTTGTGAAGGTACTTTGCAGAATACCAAAAAGGGGAAAAATCATGGAATAAATGGACTTACAAAAAGATGCAAGACAGGAGTCTAGTAGCCCCTTTTCAAACTAACATGGTTTATTTTTAAGTTATAAACTTTGGTGCTCTGCTGATTACTATTCACAGCTCTGTTTAACTTCTGCCTCAGCTCGAAGTCATAAAATGCATTTTGACAGGCTCCCCAGGTATTAACCTCCTCCCCCAATTTCTTCTTGATGTGAGGCACAGCATAAGCCCAGCAGATGCCAATAGAAAATACTGCAGTTGAGTCACCCGCCAAACTCCCAGTTCATGTTGTCACAATTACCTGCACAGCCAACAACATCTGGTAAAAATAAAGTTTGCAAGTTCTTTCACTCAACCGTGCTGGTCGCTGAACCTTGTCAAACAGTTCCCCACCTTCCATCCTGAGAAGATGAGAGGGAAAGTTACCGGCTTTGTTTCCTTCCTAGGAAGCACATGTCAAGGTAACACAGAGAGACCCAATGCTAACTAGGAAAGGTCAGCTCTTCAGGTTGAAATGAGAAGTGGGGTTCTTTGTAAATGACCCCAACTGACTCCACTAATTTCCTGACTTGCTGGACCTCACAGTTGTTTGAGCCACAAGCATTTGCGATCAAGGGATAGTTCATCAGACACCTCATTTGGACCTCCCAGACCAGGTGCCAAGATAAGCCTTGAAGCGGCAGCTGGACATAAGGCGGGGATGGGCTCTATTTCCTAGAGTTAAATGGGCCTTGAAATACTATTCAATTTTTTTTATAGATATATTTTTCTTTCCTTCACCCTTACCAGCTCATCTTCTAAATATTGCTGGTTTCTGGGAATACCAGATGCTCAATTGAATTGCAGTGAGTCACAGACAGAAACCCAGAATCACAACTTACAATTCCAACACAATGTAAAAGTCTTTTCCTTCAAAGAAATCTATTATCTTGATTAGGCAGGGCTACAGAGAAAAAGAAAGACAATATTCAGAAGTGACTCTTATGGAAAGTGTTTGAAACAGCAGTTTCATTTTGCTTTTAAAAAGAAGGAATGTGAATCCATTCATACAGATACAGTACGAGTCACCTGATTAAGTATGCTTTAAAAAAAAAAGAATGACAGAGTCTTTTTAAAGCAAATAATTTTGTCCAGAAACCTTACCAGTGACTTAGTTCCAATCAAAAGAGAAGAGGAGCAAACCCAAGACAGAATATGCTATTCACTTTGACGTGTTACTCACATGGTTGATCCTCTTCAAGATCCCCACTTCTGTCTCAATGTTAAAGGGCTTGTCCTGCTGTTAAACAACGAAGCATCAAAATATAAAGTCACCCCTGCAGCTTGAACCCATCCCCTTAAATGCAAGCAATTTTCAAAACAAGATAGTGATAAGAGTGGCTGCTGTAATGAAGCAAAAACCAGAGGAAAAATAAACAAAAACATATTTGCTCAACTGCAAATTAAGTTGAAAAGGGAGACAGACAGCAGCTCTTGGAGAAAAGATCTTTGCCTTAAAAAGTGGGAACAGAAGCTGGTAAATGAAGCTTATTTGTGCAACAAAGTTGTTACCTTTTTCTATAGGGCTGTACCCACCGAGTGGCTGAACTGGGGGGGGGGGTCAGCAGTGGGGCATTTTAAGAGCTTTGTAGAAAATTTATGCACTTGGATGAAATTTAAGTCCTTTGGTCTTACAAAGGGGTTCCCTCAAGGTGGAGGGTGAGGGATTTGAGCAAGCTAATAGGCCAATCAACATTTGCTTCCTGCATCAACCTCTAAGGAAAAACACACAGAGTAAAAGCATTGAGGCTACATGGAGTCCACAAACACCCAGCCAGATAATGTACAAACATGTTGCATCAATATGTTAAAATCAGGAAAGCAATATTGTAAGATTTTCAGTCATTTAAAAGGATGCTTTCCTCTCTTCAAAAGATTCCTTTCTGGCTAGGATTAGGGTACAAAGAAACAAAATGGAGAGACTTACCATTTCTGGCAAACCATCAGTCATAAACTTTGATTTCTTTATGATTTTTATGGCAACTTTCCTGTGGGTATCCCTTTCAAAGGCCAACTTCACCTCTCCACAGGCCCCGCTAACAGAAATAGAAGGAAGAAATTGCTGCTGTAAGGGAGACCCAGGTGCCTAGCAATCTTGTTCTTACTCTCCTCCCACAGTGGGCCCAAGGGAGCCTGGGGGGGGGAGGGAGGCCGGCCCACAGAGACCAGGGGGCTGCTCCAAAGCTTCGTTCTCCAGCCTCATCTGGTTCTAGTATGATCCATTCTGCCCAGACAGCGTGAGAACAGCTGAAGCCGATGCAGAAAGATAGATTTAAAATTTTCCAACTGAGGGAGACCCATGCTGAAACCAACCTGCCCCCCAAGAAAGGGATCCCTCCCACCAACCTGCCCAGTGTCTTTGAGACGATGTATTTCTTCTGCATTTCCTTGGGGTATTCCAGCTGATGCCCGGCTTCCAGATCAGAGAACACAAACACTGGGAAGGCAGCAGAGAGGGCACTCCTGTTACAAATGGCATGAAGCCCCTTTGCACAACCCAGCCATTGCCATGCCACATTGCAAGCATGGTTGAACATGGACAACGACTAAAGGGCAAGACTACCTTCAGGGGCCCGAGAAAATCAGCAAATGCAAAAATATTCAAGGAAAATTGTGGCCATTTGGAAGGAGCATTTACCCCCAAATTTCTAACCGTAGGTCTACTTCATATAATCACCCCTTTCCTTAAAGCTAGTGGGGGGTCACAAACATTATGGGAAGCCTTGAGTATCTTGTCAGAACTACCTCCTGCTCTGCCTAGACAGGCATTCTGAAGTGTAGTTGGCAGGGCTTGTGTGGGTGGGAGGAGCAGAGCACAGTTGTAACGCCCTGGTGCCCAGGGATCCAGCCCCAGAAACTCAGACTGCATGCCCTGTGCTGCATGCCCTGGGGGAGAAATGGGAAGAGCCAGGGGATGATCTTACAGAGGCTCTGCTTCAATCGCTTCTGATGGCAGGGTAGGGCTTGGCCCGCTCCCTGCAGGATTCCAGCACGGGGTGCCCGTGGTATGCATTTGTGTTTAGGTTGCATCTTTTGTGGGCACAGCGGGGTGTGTGTCCAGCCCTGGAGATGCAAGGCATGCCAGGTGGGTGAAAGGGCATTTCTGAGTTTGCTATGGCTCTGCTGCCCAGAGAACAAATGTTGAAAGGGGTGTGTGTGGCTGTCTCCAAAGTAGGTTTTCCATGCCTCCTGCTGTTTGGGCATGCCAAGCAAGCTCTGCCTACCTTTGTTGTGAGGCAGAGACAGGGCAATTTTGGCCACGTGGGCCAGAGGAATCTTCCTGCCCTTGCCCACCACACGGTCATTGACGAAGGTCCCGTTGGCACTTTGGTCTTCCAGGTAAGTCACAAAGCAGCCCGGAGGTCCCGGTTCCTTGGCAGAAGAGCAAACTTCGCTCAGTTCCCATCGACCGAGGGAGGGCAGAGGACCCACGCCCGAAGGGGCAGCCCCCCAGGCCTCCGCCCCCGCCGGGGCTTACTCTGAAGATGCGGAAATGTCTCTTGCTGTACTGCCGGTAGGCTTCGCTCCTGGCCAGATCCAGCCTGGAAAAGCTGTAGTCGCAGCCGGGGTCGCGGCCAAACCAGTACTCGTTCTTCAGGCAGACTGAGCGGGAAGAGGAGCGGTTCCGGTCAGCCCGGGTAGGACCGGCCCACGAGGCGGCTCGCGCAAGTCAAGAGGTCCACCCCACGCCCGGAGCCGCGTCCCGAGCCGACCGCTTCCGCCCAGGCTGCGCTCGGGACCCTTCCCCTCAGCCGCGCCCAAGCCCCCGGCCGGCTACACACCGCAATCGGGAAAGCCCCGGGCCAGGCCGAAGAGGTGTCCCCACGGCCGGGGCGCCTCCGCCGCCGCCGCCTCCTCCTCCTGGTCCTCGGGGATGGCGGGCAGGTCGTGCGCGGGGAGGGTCTCCAGGGAGCTGAGCGTGCCCGAGGAGGAGCTGCCCGAGGAGCCCGACGGCTGCTGGCTCGGCTGCGTCCCGCCCCCCGGCGGCGGCGACGGCTCCCGGCGGGACATGGGGCCGCGGCGCCGGGACACCTTCCGCGCCTCCCGCCCTGCGCCTGCGCCTGCGCCTGCGCGGGGCGGGGCGCCTGCCTGCCTGCCTGCCTGCCGGAGCGGATGTGGCGGCGGACGTTGCGCGCGGGGGCCCCGCGGCGGGCCGGATCCCAGGCGCCCGGGCGCTGCTACTCCTGCTGGAGCTGCGGGGCTCCGCTGGGGGGGGCGGCGGCGGGGGGGCCTGGCTTCTGCCCCTCGTGCCGCGCCTTGCAGCCCCCGGAGGCCCGCGCGGACCTCTTCCGGGTGCTGGGCTGGTGAGGCGCGCCCGGGGCTGCGGGGGGGGGCGGCGGGGGGAGGCAGCGCGGCGCCGCTTGACGTTCCCTCCTCCCCGCAGCCCGCGCGGCTTCGCCCTGGACCTGGCCCGGCTCCGGCAGCGCTTCCTGGCCCTGCAGCGCTCGCTGCACCCGGACCGCTTCAGCCGCCGATCGCAGGTGGGAGCCGGTAGGAGGAGCCCCGCTGGGGCTGGGCTGGAAGACCCCAGGGCCCTTGACCCCGCCACGGGGCGGGCGGGCGCTGTGACCCCCTCCGTGCCTTGCAGGCCGAGCGCGGCTTCTCGGAGCAGCACGCCGCCCTGATCAACCTGGCATATTGCACCCTCCGCCGCCCGCTCAGCCGCGGCCTTTACCTGGTAAGACGGCGGGAAGGGGCGGCGGGCTCGGGGGCGGCGGGGTCCACCCTGAACCGCGCCCTCTGCTCCTTCCCAGCTGGAGCTGCACGGAGTCGAGTTGGCGGCGGGCAGCGATGCGGAGGCCGAGCCCGCCTTTCTCGCCGAGGTCTTGGAGCTGAACGAGCAGTTGGCGGCCGCGAACTCGGAAGCGAGCCTGGCTGCGCTGGAGCGCCTCCTGGCAGGTCGGTAGGAGCCTCTGCGGCCTCGGGGGTCGGGAGGGGAGGTCCCTCTGAGCTTTCTTGCGAGGTGGCCGAAGGCTGCGTGGTTTCCTCCTCTTCTCTCTTCCAGCCAAGCAAGAGGCTCTGTTGCAGGAGGTGAGCAGGGCCTTCGAGCAAGGTAGGAGGCCAGGTGGGTGGTTGGCTATGGGCAGGGCATCCAGCTCACTCACTCTTGTCCCTCCATACAGCCAGGCAAACTCCTTCACAGCCATTTCTCCTGGCTTCCTTCCCAGAGTTTCCCCCTCACTTTCCAGCGTAGGCGTCCCTGGTGGTTTGGGCAGCCCTGTTACCTTTTTAAGGCTTGTTCTGGTCTTGTAATTAAAGGTGACCTTCCCAAGGCCAAAAGACTCTTGAGCAAAATGAAATACTTTGCGAACCTTGAGGAGAAGGTGAAGGAAAAGAAAGCCCCTTCGTGATCCCTCATCCTGTTTCGGGCAACCCAGGATGCGCTTTGGCTTGTCCCTTCCTGGACAAGAGAGCCATTCGGAGACCGAGGGAAGGGGGCAGGTAGCAATCTTCTCCTGTCTCTGCTTGTGCGCCAGAAAGAGAAGCTGCCTGTGATGGAGCCCACAAATCAAAATAAAGGCGTTCTGGGTATCTGTTTTGGTTTCTGTGTATGAAAGGTGCTTGGTCAAGATGGTGCCTACTTCTTGCGTCTCTTGGCAGAAGTTGGCCCACCGTGCACGGAGAGACTTTTTACTGCCCTGCGGGATAGTAGGCATTAGAGCAAGGAAGCAGGGGCTGTTTGCCCCACCCTTATCCTCTGCCGCCAGGAGTCTAGTGCATGCTGGGGTGGGTTCACAGAGGTCACCAGGACCGAAAGGGCATGGGGTCTCCTGCCCAAAGCTGTTCAGGAAAGTTTTTCAAGTGGTCACACCTACCATTTGAGTGACCAAGCCCTGAAGCCGCACCAGGGCTGAAGACTGGCTTCGCTCAAGGATCGTGGAGTAAACCTACAAGCAAGAGGTGGGGTCCCCTCCTACTGACACTAGGGTTCTCACAACTCTGTTAATTTTTCCATGCTGTGCATATTTTATAAGCCTCTATTTTCTTCATGATTTTCTAATCAAAATGCTGTGAGCTTTTATTCTGCCCAGAGAACTACCCAAAAGAGCTTCCCATATTATGAATAATATGTATGGCGTCCTATTACCCATATATGTCAAAAACTCTCCCTCAATTTTCTCTCCAACTGTCCCTGATTCTAGCATGTCTCTGCTGCGTGCAACAAGCTTAATTGGTGAATTGTGTTTCGGAGACCAACTGCCATCTCAGCCCTGCCAACTTTACTCTCAGTGGCTCTTCTTGCACTCGTCCCTTTGACTAGCACGGCTCAGCTATGCTCTAAATGTGAAGACAGGAGCCAGATGAAAAGCAGCCCTTTATTAAGCAGGCCCTGCTCTCTGAAAGGCGGGGATATGCTCAATGCACAGACTCCCCTGCCTTCCGCCAGGGACTGCCTGGGTAGCTGATGGGCTCAGAAAGGTGCAGCCACCTGAGGGCCTCTTGGCGTGGCGTCTTGATTGCCCAACTCCAGAACCGCTCTTAAACCTCTGGGCAAAGCTGCTGTCTCTCGCATGATTCTTCGTACGGCTCTTTGGCTCTCCTGAAGTTGAGCTTGTGAAATTCTCTCTTAATTTCTAGAAAGGTTTTGTTCTTTGTCTCAGGAATAATACAGAAAATGAAAGTGGCCACTGCGCTGCATTCTAGCAAAAACACAATGAAGCAGTACTGCTTTAGTCCTTTCTGGAAAAAGCAAAAAATGAAACGTGAATGACCGCAAAAAGCTGCAATGACTCTGTTTTACCCATATACCTCTGGGCAAGTTGGACAAGTGTTAACTGTAGTCTTTGGCTACAGCCAACCAAGCCTCCTGTCCTGGTCCAAGCTGTACAGGGGCATCCCAGTGGGGTGGGGTGGGGTGGGGGGAGTGTCACTGAAGACATAAGGCAGCATGCACTCCCATTCCTAGACTTAGCAGTAGTAGTTCACAAATTAACATGCTTGTCAAACTTCTATACTGAAATTAAGAACGGCTTCTAACATTGTTAGAGCAGAAGGGAGGCTGGTAAACACTTGGCTCTCCCAAAACAAAACTTTCTGGTCAAAGAGATGCCCACAGATGGCACAATTTCCACCAAAGCCTTTTTCAGGAGGCCTCCTGTCAGCTGCCACCTTGTTACGCTTGCTTGTGCTTTGCTGCTATACAGTGAGAGACTGCCATGAACTCTGGGGAGGGGGAATGCTTGGGGAAACGGGAGTTAAGTAGTGTGTCTTCTTAAGACAGTTTCCAGGTTACCCAGCTGGAAGGAGGGCCACATACCAAACTACGTAAACTACACTTGGACTTAGGAAAACATGTTGCCTGAACCGCATTGGTTGCCCTGGGGTAGGCAATGAGAGACAGTTATAGGAGGGACAAGTAGAACTTGGGGATTTTGTCACAAAATTTTCAGCTCTGGCTTTACACTTGATCTCTTATGACCTATATCTTTCCCAACAAGTGGAGCCAAGGATCGTTTCTATTTAGAGGTTTAAGTTGTGCAGGTCCAATGCCTCACTTGAAAGAGATGAGGGCTGAAGCAGATCCTTTTTCCCAAGTGTCAAGCTACAATTCACTTCATGCCTGACTTTGCAAAGTGAACGATCATAGGCTGAATAATATTTAAACTTAGACCATCTCTTGATGATCAAAAATCTAAAATAATCTCCACAAAGTGTAGAATCGTGGAGCAGGAAGTGACCTTGGAGGTCTTCTAGCCTAACCCTCTGCCCAAGACAGGGGTCCTTCTACCAACGGGCTATTGTGTCACATTCTTCCTTTTGCCCCCTGGAGTCCTTTCCTTTGAAGGTGTGCAGAGGGAGTGTTTTGATCAGGGCAACTCCTCACCCCTGGGAAGCTTCAGCTGGGGATGAAATCAATCGCAAGTGATCAAAATAGCCCAAAGCACAAGGCTGGAAGCAGGGTCCCATGAAACAACCAACTTACCACAACAAAGGGGAAGAGCATGCCAACAGTGAAGAAGCTCAGCCAGCTCACTGATCCTGCAATGGTGTAAGCGCCAGGGCGGGAGGACTGCACGAACAATTCGGTCGTCAAAATGTTTGTCACGCCACCTGAAGGAAGGGGCCCTTGTTAACGCAGAAGGAGTGGACAAGGCAAATTATGCAAGAAGCACATTGCAGAGGACGCAGGCCAGTTCAACCTTCTGACAGATGTGGTGGAACATAAAGCAGAAATAGCAAACAGATTCTGAGTTTGTCTTTTGGGGGAAGTTGACTTCAAGTCCATGCAGAATGATGCCGATAGATGGAAGAAGCTCTTTTTTACTCCAGAGCAGAGCAAAGAACTTTAGTAGCTGCCATCTTGGGCTCCTTGTCAGAAAGCACATTTTGAATGGAGGTGTCTGAAGACACCTTGTGTAAATCCATCTGGCTAGCAAACGCCTTGGGAGGTCATTCCCCACCCACCTCTGAACTCCTTAGGCAAGCATGCAAAGCAAATTTTTATTACAGTCATAGACTAGCATAGATGGATGCATGCAGTACCTCCAGTCTTGGTGATTCTAAAACTACATAAGACAGATGTGTTATCCAGGCTGAAAAAACACCAAGCACTCCCCCCCCCCCATCCCCTTCCAAACATGTCTTCCTTAAGGTAGGTCACCTCAGCCTGTACAGTCCACTGCCAGGCCCTGCAGGCTGGCATGCGTGAATTTCACTGCAATCATAAAAGAAGGATACCTGGTCCAAGGCCAAAGCTCAAGATGAAGGCAAATACACAAGCCATGCTCAGGTATGGTGCCCATACATGCACCTGAGGAGAAAGCATAAGATGGTAGGTTACACATTTCCTTTCCCAAGTCTATGGATGGTGTTACTAGGGCTGTGCTATGCAGGTAGTAGGTAATGCTCAGCATTTACAGCCGCTGCGGCAAAAAGTCCTGCGTGCAGGTGCAATGAGCAATGGGCAAGTGCACCCTCTTAGCTGGAAATGAGGTTTCCCAATTACCTGGAAGTTCAGGGAGATGGTCAGGATGAAGCACCAAAGCATCATAAGGCAGTAGCCTCCCAGGATCAAAGCTCTCCTCCCCAAGGATTCAACTAGCAAGCCCTGCAGCAGGAGAAGAGTAAAGCCACTTGCTCGCTCAGGGAGAAAAGAACCTCTTTGTGGTCACACAGAAAGCCTGAATTCTACTACTTACACAGGTGAGGGCAGTGAGGCATTCACATATCCCTGTACCTAAAGTTACGTAGGGAATCTTCTCAGGGGGAATCCCTGTTTCTGCAAAGACGTAATTGGCATAAAAGTAAATCTGAGAGAAAGTAGGAAAAAAAACTCAATGAGGAAGGGAAGACGCTGCAAGAGGATACCCATTTTGCTTGCCAACAACTGTGAGGACACGAAACAGCTTTGGATTGCAGCTCGCAAAAAAAACCACGTTGTGACTAACCTGCATGGCCTCAGCTCTGCCTCTGAATCTTGCTGCCAGTGCTCAGGAAGAGACCCAGCCCCCACACCTGCTACAGGCCCTCAGTTATCTTGGCCAGAGGCACTTGGAGGGCTGCAGCTGCAAGGAAGAGCCGAGCACCCAACTGGGGCGTGGGCAATTCCCATCCTGCTCTTGGTTCCAAGCTGTCAGGGAATCTGCCTGCAGCAGTTGGTGGGTGGAGGCTCCTGCCAAGGGGTGTCTTGGCACTCACTGCGTTGATCCCACTGAGCTGCTGGCCCATGGTCAGACAGATGACTGCAATCAGCTGCCAGCGGATGCTACGGTCAGCAAAGAGCTCCCAGGGCTTCTTCGCCTTCTCTCCTCCGAGGGCAAAGTTCTCTCTCTGGATGTCCTCTAACTCCTTCTGGTAGTGCAGAGGGCCATGGAAGCGCTTCAGTGCTGGGAGGAAAGTGGGGTTCAGCCTCCGGGGGGGGGGTTCAGGCCCACCTGAGACCATTAGGCAAGTCCAGCAGGAGGCGAAGTGACTGGACCACGTCTGACCGGGTTCACCCTTAGTGGCTGCCACTCTCCTTTCCTGGCTGTGGCTCTACTGAGGGGGATGTGGATGGATTTGCCCAGAGCTCTCCCACCCCTAGTTTGTTCTGCAGACAAGGGCAAGATTTGAGAGCATTTCTTTCTGGCTAAAACCCCAGTGGGCAGAAGGAGCTGCTGGCCTGAAAGGATATGCCCAGTTCCTCCTGGGAGGTTCATGAAGCATGGCTGCCAAAGAGCTGCCACAGCCCACTCTACCTTTGACGCATTGGCCCTCGTCCCCTCGGTCCAGTAATGTGAAACGGGGACTCTCTGGAAACCAGGGAAGGCTCAGGAGTTGGATCATGGCAGGCAGGCAACAGCTGGAGAGCAGGAAGGGCCAGCATTCCTCTCCCCCCAGCAGCTCCCTGTGGGAAGCAGCACAAAGGCAGCTCTTCAGGCCCTTAGGCAGTCAGCTGTCCCCTCCACTGGGGCCCCAGTGACCCAGACTTCGATACTCACCTTAGACCCATCACTTGCCCGGTCAAAATACCTCCTGTCAGGAAGATGGAACTGCCCATTGCCACGGCCCCTCGGAGGTGTCTGGGGGCAGCTTCACCTATATAGAGAGGC